TCAATTTCAATGTGCTTTGTTCTGGAATGGAATACAGGGTTATTTGCTAACGCTATAGCTGATGTATTGTCACACCGTATCTCAGTTGGTGTGTTGAGCTCTATGTTGAAATCTTTAAGAAGTTTTCTTATCCAAATAACTTCAGCTGTTGCAGCGGCCAATGCCCTGTATTCCGCCTCTGTTGATGACCTTGCCACCGTGTGTTGTTTCTTGACACACCATGAGAGAATAGTATTCCCTAGAAATGTGCAGTATCCTGTTGTTGACCTTCTCGTTTGTTTGTCTCCTGCCCAATCAGCATCAGAGTAGGAATAAACTTGAAGAGGTTCGGATGTAACAGGAATACCAAAGTTAACTGTGCCTTTTATGTATCTCAAAAGTTTCTTGAGCATATGCATGTGTTCTTGAGCTGGATTGTGCATGTTTTGACAGAGCACGTTAACTGCATACGTGATGTCTGGTCTAGTTATTGTTAGATACTGTAAGGCTCCAGTGATTTGTCTGTACGTATGAGCTTCCATCGTGATCTCATCTGTTTTGGTTTCTGCTATGCATTTTGTGTAAGTAGGAGTAGCTGTTGGTTTGCATTGTGCAAGTCCTGCATTGTTTAGTATAGTTTTGGCATATGCTGTCTGAGACATGAAATAAGTGTCCTTATGTTTGGTAATTTGAATGCCAAGAAAATTTGTGATCAATCCCATGTCTTTCATTGCAAACTTCTGTTGTAGCTGTCTTATTACTTGTGTTATCATGTTACTATCATTCCCTGTTAATAAAATGTCATCCACATAGATGACCATATATAATTCCACTTGATTTTGACGGAATACAAACAGCGATGTGTCAGCTGTGCCATTTTTGAATCCGAGAAATTTGAGATGATTGCAGAGCGTTTTGAACCACTGCCTTGGAGCTTGTTTAAGCCCATATAATGCCTTGTGTAATTTACATACATAATTGGGATGAACATGATCTTCAAACCCCTTTGGCTGCTTCATATACACTTCTTCCTCAAGATTACCATGGAGAA